AGCACTGTACCTGCCAGCTGTAAAAAAAACAAAAACAAAATGAAAAACAACCAGAAAAATGATCAAGAATATATAAGGAACTTAACTCAAGAGCAAAAAAACAACCCAACTGAGAAACGGGCAAAGGATATTAATAGACTTTTCTCAAATGAAGACATACAAATGGCCAACAGACATATGAAAAATGCTAAACATTGCTAATTATTACAAAAATGCAAATCAAAACAAGAAGATACCACTCACCCCAGTTAGAATGGTTATTATCAAAAAGACAAGGGTAAACAAGTATTGGCAAGGATTTGGTAATAAGGGAACATTTATACATTGTTGGTGGGAATGTAAACTAGTCTAGCCATTATAGAAAACATAATATGTGGAGGTTCCTCAAAAAATTAAAAACAGAACTATCATATGTTCCAGCAATCCTACTTCTGGGTATATACCCAAAGGAAATGAAGTCAGTATGTCAAAAAGATATCTGCACTCCCATGTTTACTGCAGCACAATTTACAATAGCCAAGATATGGAATCAACCTAAGGTGTCCAACAACAGAGGAATGGACAAAAAAAGAATGTGGTATATATACACAATGGAATACTACTCAGCAGTAAAAAGAATGAAATCTTGTCATTTGCGGCAATATGGATGGACTTGGAGACTGTGTTAAGTGAAGTAGCCAGACATAGACAAATACCACATGATCTCAGTCATGTGGAATCAAAAAAAGGAAGTTGATAGTATAGAGACAGAGAGTAGAACAGTGGTTACACCAGAGACTGGGGGAAGGGGAGAACAGGAAGAGGTTGGCCGATAAGTATATAATTGCAATTAGATATATAATTACAATTAGATAGTTGGAATAGGCCCTGGTGTTTTACGGCATAGTAGGGTGACTATGGTTAACAGTTAAGTTTTATTATATTATATGATAGCTAGAGAGGCTTTTGAATGTTTTTGCCACAAAAAAATGATAAATGCATGAAGTGATGATTACATTACCCTGACCTTATCATTATACAACATATATGTATCAAAACATCAGATTGTACACCATAAGCATGTACAATTACATTGTGTCAACTAAAAAAAATTTTTTTTTGTCCTTTTTGAGACCAGCCGCACCGCGCTCAGCCAATGAGTGCTGTGAGCGCACCGGTCATCCCTATATAGGATTCGAACCAGCGGCGGGAGCGCTGCTGCGCTCCCAGTGCCACACTCTCCCGAGTGCGCCATGGGCTCGGTCCTAAAAAAATTTTTTTTACATATTTTTTTACATATTTTAAATATCTAAAAATTTTTTTTAAAAAAAAAGAACAGTCACCTCTAAATGGTAAATTTATGAGTGGTTTTTAAACACTGTGTTTATATTTGTATTTCCTGACTTCACAATTTATATCAATGTTATTTAGAAAGTTATTAATAATAATCAGAATATTGTTAATAATGTCTTTTTAGTGTAATTTTTAAAACCTTGGGCTTCTGATTCAGAATAACCTGCATTAGAGGACCATTCTGCTACTTACTGTTAGCCTGAGCAAGTTATTTAACAACTCAAAGCTTCAGTTTGCTCATTTGTAAAATGAGGCTAATAACCATCAAAGAATTGCAAATTAAAACTACATACATCTAGGGCCAGCCCGGTGGCGCACTGCTACAGTGCGCCGCTTGGGAGTGCGGTGGCGCTCCCGCTGAGGGTTCGGATCCCACGTACAGACCGGGTCCCGCTCACTGGCTGAGCGAGGTGCGGGAGCAACACCAAGGGTTGCGATCCCGTTGCCGGTCCCGGTCCGGTACGGGCGCGACACTGAGGGTTGTGATCCATTGCCGGACACGAAAAAAGACAGAAAGGGAAAAAAAAAAAAAAAAAAAAAACTACATACATCTATACACCCACTGATATAACAAAAATTAAATCTACAGACAATACTGGACAGAACTGTCAAACATTTTTGGCAGGAGTGTAAATTGGCATAACCTATTTGGAAAACCGTTGGGTAGTATCTACTTAAGTTAAACAAATGCATACACTACAACTCAGCATTTCCACTCATGGGCATATACCAAAAGATATTAGTGCCTATGTCTATCAAAAGACATAAGAATATTCACAGCAACATTATTCATATTAGCCAAAATCTGTAAACAACCACAACTATAAATTGCCTCAGTAATAATTGAAAACTCTTAACACAGTATCTGGCACAAATAAAGCACTCACAAAGTGTTACCTATTATTGTTATTACCATTATCATTAATTAGTACTGACTTAAAATATTCCTTATTATAACACTCAAGTACTCAACATTATAACTGTCCAATAAACAAATCTACATAACCATATCTATGCTCTTAGTTTATCCTAACAGCACTATAAAAGAGCATAAATAATTTCAAATACATAAAGTATGTTATGTTACTCTATTCTTCTCACAAATCACTTACAAAGGTCCAAAAGTTATATTCATTTATCTTTCCCCAGATAAATTTCATAATCTTAATTAACACTGAAAGAAAAATTTATGTACTGAATAATACCTTGAAAGATGTTTAGGAGTTAAAAGTTTGAAGACTATACAAAAAAAAAAATTAATTTCAAGAAGGAGTATTATTCTCAGGTTAACCATATACAGTGAAAACTTCAAAACTCCATACTAACAAATAGAGACTGTAAACTGGAAATTTCTTTTAAAGTTATTTCAAAAAATTTACTGGTGAAATGCCTGTGTAGAAACCATTTATTTAAAGTATTTATTGAGCATGTCTTCCTATTTCTTCTAATTCCATCATTATGCCCCCAATGTTTATCTTTATATATACATAATTTTTTAAAATTTCAGTGTTGCTTTGGCTCCCACAGATTTGTCACCCCTTTTCCCCTGGGTGACAGAGCTGCCAAAAATTAGAGCAGTGAGAAGCCCCAAAAAGGGGTTAATCTCCCAGAACCTTCAAGAGAGAGGCATTCCTTCCATTCGGGAAATTAACCACGAACTGGGGTTCTCTTCCTGCATTTATTCTCCAGCCAAGGAAGTTACAGGAAGAGAACACAGGTGGGGTTTTTTTGCTCTCCTTAACGGCAATTTCCCAGTATCTTTACATATCAATCAGTAACCTGTCTTTGAGCCAGTAACCTTGTGTTAACAATTCTTTATCTTACAACAGAGACTATATAGCCTGGGGAAAATTTCCTGTCCTTTGCAAGGTCAGTATTTGAAATTGTAAGGTTTTGGAAAACCAGACCCTGTGAAGTACATTTGCTTTATGCATACTCTACATTTCAGAATGGATGTACCTAGTACCCCCCACTGCTCGGAACCATGTTTTCTTTTATAACAACCTTCCAGTGAGAGTCTAAGCATACACAAGTATATATGTTTATATATACGTGAATATATGCACATATTTTAAAGAAAATCACACACATACACTTAAACGCACACTATAAACACTGTTCTGCACATTCCAAAAGATTTCTCCTGGAAAAGGGATACCTACCCATTCTTTATTCAAGATAGTTCTATGATGTTTAAAATCACTTTTGCTGATTACAGCAGTAACAAATGGGAAATATCAAAAATATGTATGCAAAAACAGTTTCACTCATAAACCCAAACACTCAGAGATAACATATGTATTTCCTTTGTTCTTTGCATAATACAAATACAGGCTACAGATAAGATGGCATGCAGATCAGATGGCATTCTACAACTTAACACATGACACTGGATGCTATGATATCATAAGCAGGTGACCTGAGAAATCTAGTTTAATCTGCTCCTACCTTAAAGACCTAAACTGACTCAGTTCCTAAAGAAGATAGGTAAGAAAACCCGGACAAAACTTAATTATATAAAGTTCACATTTCTTTCATACTGAACCTGTTAGTCTCGCTTGGAATACCTTCCAGATGACAGAAAGCAAGTACTTAATATAATTAGTTTCCCCTCTCATAAATCTCACGCCTCCCACACTCCAAACACCTCACCATCACAACTAACGCACATTTCTCAGTAAAATATCAATCGCTATTTAAGCCCAATATTATTTAAACCCAGAATCATCAAGAAAGCAAAGACACTAGGATAGAGAAACCCGATTTCAACAAAGTCACAGGAAACGGTCACCCTAGAGCAAAATTAAATTATCAAATTCCTTGTGCATTCCTCTCAGCTGTTTATCCTTGGGGATCAACTATCAGGATTTAAGAATGGTTGAAAGTTCAAAACACCACTGACAACCGTCACACTTTACATCAAAAGCAAATCTGGGAACAATTTGAAAGGAAAGTTCTCCTCTACTACCTACTGTATCTCTACCATTTCTTGAAGTAGCAAAATGAAGGAAATCTAGGCGCACAAGTCTCTTTCAAGGGCAGAACCTTCCAGTTTCAAAATGCCAACTGAATTAACCAATTTTAATTTTTCAGAATATCTGGGGTTTGGGGGAGTTTTTGTTTGTTTGTTTGTTTGTTTTTGTCATAAGTCTCCTTAGGAATATTCTAGGGATGTTGAGACGGGCACTATTTTGATTTCTGATTTCGGTTCAACAAACTTATATGGCCATCTATTTTAACCAACAATACTGCGCTAAAAGCTTAGGCTGCAAGGTGGGGGGGTGTGTGTGTGTGTGTGTGTGTGTGTGTGTGTGTGTGTGTGTGTGTGTGTGTGTTAGACTGACAGATTTCACTCTTTAAAAACATCGACGATGGAAGACCGGTTTTGACAAATGGGTACAAAGAAATGAAGAATCGGGGCCAGGTAGCTTAGGAGACAAAGCCTCGGGAAAGAGGAAACTAAAATCCACCCCACGGACCGCACTTCCGGGCCCCGACGCTCGGCCAGGCTCCCAGAGGCCGCTCTCCCCACCGGCCTCATAGCCGGCCCAAGTTCCGCAGCTGCGCGGCCCAGGCCGCGTCCACACAGTGAAGCAGCACGGGTCTGGCGTCCGCAGCTCTGGAGAGAAGCCGCCCGCCGCCCGCCCGGATCCGCAGTGCAGCGTTACCTGTTGAGGAGCAGAGAGGCGGCACTGAGGCAGAGCAGCAGGAAGCAGAACAGTGGGTATTGGCGGCAGATCTCGCGTCCCACGTCCAGTCGCAGTCGCTGCTTCAGCTTCTCCCCCACCGTTCGTACCCAGGGCACCATCTCCGACCGCACGGCTGAGGCTGCGCTACCGGACGAGGCCGAGGTCGAGGCGACCCCCATCAACTTCCCGCGTCCGGGACCTGCCGGCCCAGAGGCGGACCCACACAGCGGCCGACCTCCGGACCGTCGCCACCAGCTGCTGTGTCCCCAGGCCCCGCCCCCGAGGCCCCCGGAGCGCGTGCGCGACCACCGCCCCCTACCGGCCAGAGGAAAGACCACACGACGTACTAGAGGTCGTCACCCTGCGCTAGGGCCCTGGCTTCGCTGTTCTCTGTCTCCGCCCAACCCCTACGCGGGCCAGAGCAGTGCGCGGGTCTTCCGCAAAAGATCTTCCACCGGTAAACTGCTTTTCCCGGAAATCAAGGGGACGCCCCAGCATCCAGTAGCCGCCTGTCCTGAGGAGAGAATACTAGCACCCGAGAACAGCAGAAGCTACCCGCCCCGTAGCCGCCGGGCGCTGCCTGCCGGGCACCGGAGCTCGTGGAGTCCACTGGGAACTGTAGTCTTCGCGACGCCGCCACTCCCGCCACTCTCCACGCCTCCTCACAGGACTCTCACCTTCGGATGGGGACAGGACCGAGCTTTGCGCGACGCCCAAGTGAGAGGAAGGAGGGATGCCTTTTGCGTTATTTTAAAAGCGGCAGAATGGGGGCTGCGGGGGTGGCGAGTAAAATATCCCCGAAATACGAAAGAGTCCAGCCCACGGGGCGGCCACCCCTGCGAGAGAGCATCTTTTGAGCGTTCATGGACGAGGTACTCAGTTCACGGTGGCCCAGGGAGCCTACCTAACCAAAATCCAAGTGTTTGGAGGAGGTGGCTTGGCAGGTTAGGTTAAGTCCCTCTTACAGAGTCTCGTGGGGCTTTCCATTTACTAATTTATCACATTTCTAAATTTTAATTTCCGTATTCTCTGCTTCTCTGAGATGCAGAAAAACAGTACCATAATATCTAAGGTTTGTTTAGGCGGCGCTAGGCTAAGCACTTTCATTTAACCTTCACACACTCACCCCATGATATAGGTACAGTACTCTAGTTTCACCCATTTTACAGCTATGTTACTGAAGCAGAGAGGAACTTGCTCACGATCATACAACTAGTGAAGCCTGGATTTACACCATGCTGCCTTCATCTCTCTGCCCTAGGAACAGAAATGAATTTTTTTAATGGTAACGTGCAGTTTCCTGAATATTTTCCCATGTTGTTCCGAAAACATGGATCATCTTTAACAAGGCATTATTTTCCATTATCAGAACGTACCTTGGGCCGGCCCGGTGGCGCGCTGGATAGTGCGCCGCTTGGGGAGCGCGGCGGTGCTCCCGCCCGAGGGTTCGGATCCCACATACAGACCGGTTCCCGCTCACTGGCTGAGCGAGGCGCGGGAGCAACACCAAGGGTTGCGGTCCCGTTGCCGGTCCCGGTCCGGTGCGGGGGCGACACTGAGGGTTGCAATCCCTTGCCGGACACGGAAAAAGACAAAAAAAAAAAAAAAAAAAAAAAAAAAAAAA